CACCACCAGCAGTCTACCTTGAAGTCTCCGATGCAAAAAAAACCGGCAGCAGAAAGATATTGAATTACAGATGGAATAACAACAACAACAACATTTATTTGCCGCTTTATTTCGCAACCTTTAAAACCCTGAAAGAAAAAGAAGAAAGGAACGAAGCGAAAAGTAAGATAGAACGATAAGCTGAGCAAGGGAACGGAGAGTAAGGAACGCTTGCCGATGAGCTTCCCTCTTCCTGGCAGTCTACCTGGGTGCCAAGGAGGGGGAGGCTGGGTTCTTGCCGAGTGCTGTTCGATTGCTTCCAGCCGGCTGAGGCTGCTGGGCTTTGTAGTGCTTTACCTCTTCCTCCCCCCCCCCCCCAAAATGCAGAAGAAACGAAGCCTCCTGCCCCTGCGCCGTGCGGAGGAGAGCCGGTTCATCGACCCCCTGCGCCTGGCCTTCCAGCCAGCCGAGACTAAGAGCGTGGTTAGTGCCAGCGGGCACGGGGCAGGGAGGGGGGCACAAGGCAGCTGGGGGGAGCTGGGGAGAGGGGAAGTGGGTGGGGGTCTCCGGGGGACCCGATGGGGGAGGGCAAAGGCCACCGATAGCCACTGAAAGTCAAATCCCCCCACTTTCATTCATTCAGGGTGTTCCGAATTTCAGATCTGACTATTCATCCCCCCCTTTCTCTCCCTTCCTTCCTTCCCTTCTTCCTTCCATCCTTCCCTTTCTCTTTTCCTTCTTTCTTTCCTCCCCCCTTCCCTTTACGTTTTCTTTCCCTCTTTTATCTTTCCCTCTTTTTCTTCTTCCCTCTCATTCCTTCCTCACTCACTCTATTTTTCCTTCTTCCTTTTACTTTTCATCCTTTCCTTTTCCTTGTTTCCTTTCCTTCCTTCTTTCCGTCCTTTTCTGTCTTTTCCTTCCTTCCTTCCTCAATCTCTCCCTCCCTTTACTTTTTCCTTTCTTTCCGTCTTTTCACTCGTTCCTTCTATTCTTTAATCCTTCCTTCCTTATTTCCCTCCTTTTCTCTTTGTCCTTCCTCCCTCCTTTTACTTTTTCATTTCTTTTCACTTGCTCCTTCTATTTTTCCTCTATTCCTTCCTTGCTTGCTTCCTTCTCTTCCTCCCGCTATCCCTCCCATCATTTTTCCTTCCTTCCTTCCATCCTTCCTTCTTTCCATCATTTTCTCTGACTTTTCCTTCCTCCCTCCCGTTCCTTTTTCCTTCCTTTCCTCCTTCTTTTCACTTGCTCCTATTTTTCCTCTATTTCTTCCTTCCTTGCTTCTCTTCCTCCCTCTATCCCTCCCATCATTTTTCCTTCCTTCCTTCCTTTTCTCTTTGTCTTTTCCTTCCTTCCTTCCCTCCTCCCTCCCTTTACTTTTTCCTTTCTTTCCTCCTTCTTTTCACTTGCTCCTCCTATTTTTCCTCTATTTCTTCCTTCCTTGCTTCTTTTCCCCCCTCTATCCCTCCCATCATTTTTCCTTCCTTCCTTCCATCCTTTTCTTTTTCTTTTCCTTCCTTCCCTCCTCCCTCCCTTTACTTTTTCCTTTCTTTCCTCCTTCTTTTCACTTGCTCCTCCTATTTTTCCTCTATTCCTTCCTGCCTTGCTTCTCTTCCCCCCTCTATCCCTCCCATCATTTTTCCTTCCTTCCTTCCATCCTTTTCTCTTTTTCTTTTCCTTCCTTCCTTCTCTCTTTGTCTTTTCCTTCCTTCCTTCCCTCCTCCCTCCCTTTACTTTTTCCTTTCTTTCCTCCTTCTTTTCACTCGTCCCTCCTCTTTCCCCCTCATTCCTTCCTCCTCCTTTCTCTCTCTTCCCTTTCTCTCTGCCACGACTGTCCTTTCCTACCTACCTACCCACACGACCCCCTCCCCAGTTGCTGGAGCTGATGGGCTGCCTTCCGCCCTTGGTCTTCCTGCTGACGGCCTGCGCCCTGGACTCCCTCCTCTACACCATATTCAGCACCATCCGGAGCCACTCCTTCATCCAGTATTCCTTCCGCAGTGAGTGCCTTCCCCCACCCTCCTTGGTTGAATCCGCACCCTGGTCCGGAAGGCCAGCCGGTTCCCCTCGCCCCCCATCCCCTCCAATGGCCCAATCCTTGGGCAGAAGGGAAATGGAATCCACACCCAAGGAAGGGACGCTGTAGGACG